TGCTATCTATTCTAAGCACTCATTACATATTTGATATTGTAAATTACTGATATTTTATTTCCCTGCTAAGTGCACATTGTACAATATAGTAGGAAGCTCCTGAAAAAACAGGAAGAGAGATGACAAGACTGCCACATAGGAAAAGAAAGCTGAGCACAGATGCTATCAGTGTAAGTGAGATGTGTACGTGGAACACACACCTATCATGTGTGCAGACTGCCTTGGGTGTGACAGTTGAAGCAAAGCTTATTTTATGATTGAGTATTATTGGTATTTTCACTGTAGTTCATATAAGAATTTGTTTCTGATGTTATCATTTACATTTTGTAAGGGAGTACAAGGCTGATGTGAAAATACTGATGTCTATTCTAAATGCAAAACATATTAAAAATGTAATAATTTACTGATATTTTATATTTCTGTTAACTACACACTGTATAATATAATAAGAACCTCCTGACAAAAAGAACAAGACGGCTGAGATGCAAGGTGTCCTGCAAAAAGGCCAGGAAAACAAAAGCAAAAGCAAAGGACGTGGTGTCAGTGTGAGCGATGTGTATGTGGAACATGCTATTGTCATGTGTGCAGACTGCCTTAGATGTGATCATTGAAGTCAAGAGGTTTTTTTTGTAGAGTGCTACTGGCATTTTCACTGTAGTGCATATAAGAATTTATTTCCAATGTTCTTTTTCAGACTTTGTACACCAAAAACCAGTTGATGTTGAAAATTTGGTGCTTTTTAATAAACAATAAATATTAAAAACTCATGCTTTATTTTTATGAGTTTTTGGTTAAATACTTATTGTTTAATATAATAAAACTCATAAAATTAAAATAGTTCAATAGAAATATTCGAGAGAATGACAGATCCACATTTAAGCACCTTGTTGAAAAATTAGTGTTATGCTCCAAGGGCTATGGACCCTGAATAGGAAGATTATTTTGGGTTATCTGGGTTAGCTCCAAACATAGTCACAGGTAACCTCATAAGAGGAACGCAGAGGGAGACTGACACAGCAATCGGAGCAGACGAGTGTGAGCTGGCAGGCGGAGACGGGAGGGACAGGGCCACAGGCTGAGGCACAGAGGCAGGGCAGGCAAGGAGCGGGTTTCCTTGGAAAGCCTCTGAAGCTCAGAGCCCTGCAGAAACCTTGATTTCAGCTGGATGCAACTGGTTTCAGACTCCTCACCTCAAGAACTGTGAGAGAATGAATTTCGGCTGTTTAAACCATCCTGTAGCACCATTTTGTGGTACCAGCCATGAAATTAATACATGCGGGGCTGGGATTTAACTTAGCGGCATAAGTGCCTGCCTTGCAAGCGCGTGGTTGTGAGTTCGATCCCTGGTACCGGTAAAAACAAAAAAAATTAATACATGCACAAAATTAAAATGTATGTATTGAAAGCAAAAGTTGTCTTTTACTGCACTGCGCAGAAATAACCACCACACACACAAGAAGCATAAAGAAACTGCCTCTCGCGGGTCCCTTTCCTACTTAGCTGCATCTTTTAATTTCTTCCTATTTAAGTTCATATTGTGGCCAGTAAGTATTTGTCAGAAATATGGTCTTTCCTGGCTACACAGTTGTGAAAATACAGTATACACTGGAAAAGTTGAGAGAATACTATGGGATGTATTGGCCCATATAAACCTTTCTGAGCTTCAGTTCACTCATTTTGTAGGAGACAATGAAACCTACTTCATAGAGTTATTTTGGGGATTCAATGAAATAACATTTAGAGTGATTTATTATATAATAATCATTCAGTCCATGACAACTGTTATCACTACTAATATTCCATTCCTATTTTTCTAATTTGCTTATTCCCTTGAGACATTATTTCATTTCAGTTGTGCATGTTGTTTTAAATAAATTACTGTGAGAATGCATGACAACATAACAGTTATATTTCCATATCCCTGACGATTTGCTCATATTGATAGTCATACTGTGGTCAAAGAAATCTACTAAATGATAAATTCAGCAGCACAGTTAACTTCACTAAGTGCTACTTATGTAGAAGTCAGTAGTTATGAAACATTATTTTATTTTTAGTGTCATTAAACTGCTTAAATTTCCTTCAAGTCTGTTGGCAAGTTGCAAATTGTTGCCTTTCCATTTTTCAGTTGCTGTGAGAAAACAGAAAGATTAGCATATCAGGGACTAGAGCAAGGAGAGAGAAATGTGGGCTTTATTCTGAGCCTGTAGATAAGATCTACAGAGAAATTTTATTTCTCAAGTTTCTAGACACGAATTCTTACCCCCCTCACTATAAGAGGATGGTATATTAGCTAAAAGAAAGCATACTCATTCAGTTCATGAACATGATGGATTTCTACTCTGTCATGTTCAAAGATGACACTAGGGTAATAATAAGATCACAACCATGAAGAAAACAAACAATAAAGTCTAATGCACAATTCCGTGAGAAATAAGATCTTTTAGTTGATTCGGAGTGGCAAATAATCTAACAAACTGAAAATATCCAATATTGGCAAGGTTACAAGAACAAGGGCATTCCTGCCTGTCTGGAGGACACGCTCACAGTTTTCAATAAGAACGGCTGGCCCGGGGCCACAGCTCAGTGGAAGAGAGCGTGCCTAGCATACACCACCATCCGTCTCCAGTGCCACCAAAATAAATGTAAAAGGAACTCTTTACTGAGAAAGTAAAGAGTTTTTCTCTAAGACATAACTGACAAAAGTGTAAAGTTGTATGTGTTTTTGCAATGTTGTTTATAAAAAGCAGAGTACTGGGAAACAACACCCTGACTGTTCATCAGTATGAGCTCGGTTTCAGAAAGCATGGTGCTCGGCATTCAGAAGACAGTATTGCTTTACATCAGTCACATGGAAGGATGGCCAGAGTGTTCAACTACACAAGTTCCAGCACAATGATGTACAGCAGTGTGGCCAGCCGGCGGCATCCATGTCACAGTGCGCTGTTTGTATCACTGAAAGCTCTAAAAGGTTTGCCATCACCGACGGATAGCACTGAAGAGACACGTCGGCATGTGTGTACGAGAGGCGCGCGAGAGAGACAGAGACAGACAGACAGACAGACAGAGACATAAAATTATGAAAGTTAAAGCATACAGGAGCAAGAAAGCTGGGCATGGTGGCATATGCCTGTAATCCCTGCTGAGGCAGGGGGATTGCCGTGAGCCTGGGCTACGTAAGTGAGTTCAAGGCTAGCTTGCACTACATCCTAGGGCCTGTCTAAAACAGACAAAAGACAAAAAACAAAAAGAAAGAAAGAAAGAAAGAAAGAAAGAAAGAAAGAAAGAAAGAAAAAGAAAGAAAGAGAAAAAGAGAAAAACCATCTGTGAGCCCATCATTGAAAGAAATGTTAATCTTTGAATACTGTTCCTTTTAATTTTTTCCTAATATACAATTGTGTGTCTGAGCTTTTTCCCATTATCATTATGAGAGTCTCCCTGTCACTGAAGACTCGTGTGTGTGTGTGTGTGTGTGTGTATTTGGTGTTAGAGACTGAATTTAAGGAGCACTGATCTACATCTCCATCCCTTCTAAAACATTATTTTGAGACAGGATCTCACTATGTTGCCCAGGCTGGCCTTGGATTTGTGATCCTCCTGCCTCAGCCTCCCAAATAGTCATGTATCAGCATGTCAAGGATTAAATATACTTTCAAGGCCCAAGATCTATTTCTAAGAAGTGATGTTCATTTAGTCCTATATCATTTCAAGTTGAAGAACCTTTCATATGCTCAAAGTAAGTTTATTATAGGAGTCATAGAAATTATCCCTTCCCATCATGAGAGACCAGACCTGGTTCTTTACTGATAACTGTGACACCTGCATAACCTCAATGTTAAAAGTCCCCTCATACCACGCTTCTCTCTCATCCTACTGACCTCGCTGGGATAGGTTCTTTCTTTTTTAATTTTTTAATTTTTTTATGTAGCTGAGGCCAGCCTCCAACTCACGCACTCCTCCCGCCTCAGCCTCCAGAGTGCTGGGATTACAGGCATACACCGCCACGCCCAGCTTGGACGGGTACTTCCTTGATCTAGGTTTGCACTGTTACTCATCTGCCTAATGCTCTCAGTTCCATGACTGACCAGTTCAACTGCTCTGGTATACTCTCACTTTCCCCCTCTTTGGCTAACTGAACCCCAACTTTTGGTTAAACCCAACCCTCTGCCTATTCTATACTTCTGCTCACGCAGCCGGTGTTCAAGTCCTGCCTGTCTTCTTTTTCTTTTTAAGGGGGCTGGGATCAAACCTGGGGACTCACATGCTAGGCAAGTGCTCTACAAATGAGCTGTGTTCAGGCCTTTTATCACTTATTTTGTCTTTATTGCCTTGATAACTTGTCCAGGCTGCACTCAAATTCGCAATCCACCTGCCTCGGCCTCCCAAAGAAGCTGCGGTTACAGATGGGTGGCATCGCACGTGGCTTTCCGTCCAGACATCCTTTAAGCCCTGGTTCTTTCTCCCACTTACCCACGAGCGCCCACTGCTGAGCTCCGTGCTCCAGTGGAGGCCCCTGGCTGTTTTTCTCCGTTTCTTTTTCTTCCCTGACTTTCTGACCCATCCTCTTGCTCCATCTCCCTTCTCTCCTGCTCACCTCTTCTCCCAAACCCCAATAGAAACACAGGACGAGACGCCTAATAAAAATGACTCAGCTGTGGGTATGGCAGCAGGCTCTGCGGTCCAGTGCTACTTCCGCTGTGTGACCGTGGGCGGCCACTTCACTGTTCTGGTTCCCAGTGTCCTCCCTCCTCAACGAGACACGTTTGGTTGGATGAACTCCAAGATCATTTCACTCAGCTCTTAAAAACTCTCGCTTTGTATCCAACTCAAGTTAAACCAAGAACTGACAATAAATGTCAAATAGAAGTCAAAAACAAAAACACATCATAATCTGAAAATTCAAAAAGAAAAAGGTAGCCACCTCCACTCCCCAGGGGTAGATGCCACCCCTACCACCGCGATGCCAGGGAAAGTAGGTCAGCACCACCCCGGCCACTCACCGTGAACTTCTCATAGAGCTCGTAGGTCAGGAGCGGGTTGGGCAGCTCCCGGAAGTACAGCTTGCAGAGCGAGCCCACGCAGTGGATGTCCTGCAGGTACACTTCCCGCGTCAGGTCGGGGCACTGATCCGAGACGAACTCCTGCCTGAAAGCAGCAGACCGAGAGGCATGAGGATGGGGCGCTGCAGCTAAGGGGTGCAAAGGCCTGGAGTTCCTCACCCTACCCAGTTTTTGACTTTGATTCTGCTCAGGCAGCAGAAAGCTGCAAAAAGGCTCACACTTTTGCAAAAATTGGCTGTGAGCAAAAAGACCCAGCTCACCGTCACATGGATGCTGCGTGGTGCTGTATCTACAGCACTGGTTATGAACATTGGAACTCTGAAAACGGTTTGCCAAAGAAGCCTACTGAGATGTCGGTTTTTCCAAAACATTGCTCAAAATGAAATTCTCTTTCCTACAAAGAGAAACTGAAACCAGAGCGAGCGAAGTTGTCACCATGCACATCCATATAAAGGCAACACACTGGCCGTGTCTGGAGTCCCAAACCCCAGGACAGGGAGCTTTGAGCAGTAATCTCTGATGCTCCCCGAGGCCCTGGCAGGCTGCCTGTGGTGACACACTTCCCATTCTGCAGGCTCAAGTTAGACATCCGTTTAATAATGATAGAGTCCGAGCCTTCGTGGGGAACTCAGGTTCTTGAGTGTATTCACATGATCAGCAAGAGGGGACCAACATCAACAGGACTCACAGAACAGCGTTCGTGAACGAGCCTGTGCCCACCGTGCACTCTGGTGCTCCCCTCTGTGAGAAGGTGCAGGGCCTCCCAGATGCTGCCGGAATCTAAGGCACTGGGTGTGGCCTTGAAAAGAGAACCTTGCCTTGACTTCCTGAATTCACAGCTTGCTCCTTCTGGTTTTGGGGACTGAACCTAGGGCCTCTGTATTGAGCAACACCCCAGCTCTTTTTTTTTTTTTTTTAATTCTTTGTTTTGAGATAGGATTTCCCCACTCACTCACTTGCCCAGGCTGGGCTCAAATTTGCAATCCTCCTGCTTCAGCCTCCCAGAGTGGTGGGATTCCAGGTGTGTGCCTCTGCTCCTGGCCAGGCATGTGGTTTTCTAAAGGAGCAGCAGAACAATCTAGAGCTTGTTCATTTAGCCCCAAATTTCCCTCCCCAAGGCTAAGGCAAATCCTTAAATGAAAAAGAATTTGCCTCCATTCAAGTGTCTTTGCAGGATACCATCACTGTGGGAGACATTTCAGAGCCAGGAGGTGTCTACTGTTAGAGCTGGTAGAGCCCTTGCCTAACAAATGTAAAAGCTCTAGCCCCAAGACAGGACAAAAAAATACACCCTAAAAAATGGCACACTGGTAAAATTAGTGGAGTTATATAAACTTGCAGAGTTCATTAAAATTTAAGTCTGCAACCTACAATATGTTTTAACAGTCACCACTTAACCACTGACTGCAAGTTTTAGTCCTTTGGTATAACATTGCAAATCCGATTTTGAGGGGTGGGTAGAAAGCAAATGAGAGGAGGAAGATGGAAAATGAATTGTCGGCATCATCTATTAAATTGTATATATTAACTTTGTGACAAGAATGTTCCTTTCATTTTAAAAGTCTACATTTATAAGAGCATATATTTTAAAAAACAAGTAATGTTCTCTTTCGGTGTTAATATGCAAAAACACATAAACTTATTCCTTTAGTCACAGGAAAGGAAACTACATTATTTATTTTTCTCTCTGCATGTATGTGTTTTGTGCAGTGGTTTTTTGCCATCTTAATTTCATGTGATAGAAATTTCGCCCAAATGTTTAAGGCAAATCCCTTAAATACAGCTGGTTCCTCTATCCATAATTTTTTGCATACTAGCATCGGTCAGAGAAATGAGCGACCACAAGACCAAGGATTGCTCACTGGATGGATGAGCTATCCAGGGTGCCTAGAGAACCTCACAGTGCTGAGTTCTGAACACCATGTAAGGGACCTCAGCCAGCTACATAATTTGTGATTTAGATCATTTGCATCAAGTTAAATCGCCTCTCCCCCAGGAGGATAAACCTGGAGGGAGACAAAGAAATAGATTAAAAGCCCAAAGGAGCTTTTGTTGGAAAGAATCCCATCAGGCAGGAGAGCTTTCTTCCTCTATTAACAGTCAGCAGCTGGCTCTACTGAGCCCTCTCTTCCCTTCAAGGTTTTGGTTCTCCTGCTCCTGCCAACAGAGGGATGGGCAGAGGAGGGCCGTGGGAGAAGTCTCCTGGGTTCTTCCTCTTACCTTAGTCGCTGTATGTTTGAGGTGACCCCTGAAAGTCGATAGATTCCATCTACGATGCCGTGAGTCTCAATAAATTCTGCACAGCTCTTCAAAACATATGGAACTAGGTAAATGGGGAAAAAATAAACAATAAAGTATTAGATGTAAATCTTCTGTTCTTTAAAGCATCTATCTGGGCACGGTGGTGCACACCTGTAATCATAGCACTTGGGAGGTGAGGCAGAAGGATCACTATGAGTTTGGGGCCAGCCTGGGCTACATAGTGAGGTCCAGGCCAGCCTGAACTACATAGTGAGACCCTGTATCAAACAAACAAACAAACAAACAAACTGTACGATGAAGAAGACAGCAACTTCAGGACCCACAGTTGCCCAAGATTCTCCAAATCCATACTATCTTTCTTCAGGCCCATCACACTCAAAATTCCTTAAAGAACTTTTGAAATCACAAATTAGCTTAGTTGATAAGGCAGACACACATTGGCTGGGTTCTTGCCTTTCTCCTTTAAAGTGAGCTATGCTTTCACCTGTGAAATGGGTCCCTGTCTCTACTCCTGTGGGTAGGTAGGCTATCACGTTTCTGCTGTAAACCAGGCCAAACTTTCTGTAGACTCACCAACTGCACAGATTTCCACCCCCCTCCCAAAGTACATAAGTACCCTCAGCTCTGCTCTGAGTATAGACTTTAAATCCTGCCCCCTCAATCCCTTTCTGCCTCTTACCCAGGCATACATCCTCCCTCCTCCCTTGATCCCTCTCAGCTTCCTGCCACACCAGGAGCTCTTTCCCCTCTGTTAGGCTACCATCTTGGAGCCAGATGACTATGGACTGAACCCTCTACAAAGTGTGAGCCAAAATAAACTTTTCTCCTGCACCTTCTGGGTACTGGGGGTTTCACCCCAGCAACAAGAAAATAACAAAGACATACTGATTCATTCATGCTTTTTCCACATGCCCAGCCTACATATAAATCAAACTGGACTTCACCTTTACATGGGTAGACCCCAGGTGTTCGAATTTAACTGGATTTTTCTTCAGTGGTACCGAGCATTGAACACAGGCCCATACTGCATCCCCAGCTCTTTAAAATATTTTTAAATTTTGAGACAAGATTTCACCAAATTGCCTTATTACCCAGGCCAGGATTTTACTTGAGATCCTCCTACCTCAGCCTCCCCAAGTGCTGGGATTATGGACATGCACCAACACACCTAGCCAAAAATTTTTATTATAGCACTTTCGAAGCACCCACTCCTTCTGCTTCCAATAATTGTAAATTCAGGAGTTAAGCCTGTAATTCCACCACTTAGGAGGCTGAGTCAGGAGGAACATTACAAGTTTGAGGCCAGCCTGGGATACATGAGTTCAAAGCCAGCCTGAGCTACACCACAAGACCCAGTCTCAAAAACAAACAAATAGTTAAATCACGTTTTTCACACTTAGAAGTATTCTGCCCACCCTCAAAGGTGATGCCTGCCCCACTCCTCTCCTACGGACTCTGTGGCCTCTGTTACCACAACAGAACTGAGGTAGGAAATCAGAGCTGGGGCAGACCCTCAAACAACTGGGTAGAATATGTCAAGGTCATGAGGATCCAGAGAACATGGATACAACACAGCACATATGGTGACCCTAGGGCTCTGGAGCCCCATGCCCAGAACCAATCAAAAAGTACTTTCGGGGCTGGGGATTTAGCTCAGCGGCATAAGCACCTGTCTTGCAAGCAAGCAGTCGTGAGTTCGATCCCTGGTACCGATAAAAAAGGAAAAAGACAAAAAAAAAAAAAAAAAAAAAAAAAAAAAGTACTTTCACTCCCTCACGGGAATCCAGCTGTGTTTGCAAGACCAATCAGAAAAGGGCTGCCTTTAATTCTGCCAGGTACCAAGCAAGTTTTCCCATAGAGTGGTTTAAATCTGGTGCTAGCCTAGGAAGTTTCTGATAGTGTTGCAGGCAGCTGAGTTAGTTAAAAATATCATAGGCAGTGAGACAGGGCTAGGTCCTCAGTGGAGCCAGTGCAGACACCTGGCAACTAAGGGGGAGACTGACGCCTCCTGCTGTGGGCCAGGCCTCAAGACAAAAGACCATACAAATGCACTCACATCCTGAGGATTGATACCCTAAATAGTTCCCATCCCCCTAGGAAAGAGTCACTGCTCCTTAGGAACGCCCACTTTCTGTATGACTGGCTTCCCCATTTGTCCCTAATGCAATCAATTTTACCTGAATTATTGATCTTATTGGCTAACTATAGTTATGTCCACCGTATGCCCATCTGCGTTGTGAGTTCCCAGTCTTCCTCCACCTTGAGCCCATGGTTTTACCGTATAAAAGTCCTTACAAAAGACAGAGTCCTTGGGAACCCACTTGGGACCCCTTCTGTAAGCTTCCTTTCTTTCAATAAATACATTCTGCTCTTAACCTCCGTTGTTCCTAAAATTCATTCTTCAGTTTTAGAGAACAGGAGTAGGTTGGGAGTTTTATTTCCCTATATCAACAGGACAACTATCCTGAGGCCTTATTTTCATGGGGGGGAACCAATGAGGAATTTTAAGCATGAAAGACCCCTTTTCCTTCCCCTGGTGGCCACTGTAAGTTTGTTTCCAGGCCAGGCCTCGCCCTGTAGAGCATGCTTCTCTTGTACCTGCAGTGAATGTCCACCCTCAGGACCTTTCTGTGTGTCCTGTCCAATTCTTCGTTAAGGACACCAAGAACCTGAAAGAGCTCTCACAGAACCTCCTTCCCAGAACAACCAGAGACTGTTCTCAGCTGACCCAGGGCTGAAGAGGGCAGGGGAAGGATCTGGGATTGCAAGCACCCCAGGCCACGGAAACACTTTCTGGGCGTGAACGTGGGGGAAGCAGGGTGGGAGGGGCTGGGGACCATGGCCTCTGTCTTCAGTCAGAAGAGCTGTGAGTGGATCTGATTTATAACATGGGCCTCCTGCCTTCATGCCAATTAATGATATAGAGACCAAAAGAGCTCCAGTGCCACACACACACACACACACACACACACACACACACCCTTAAAAATCACTGTTGTATCCAATGAGTCCACTCTTATCCCCACAAGGAGCTGTTCTTAAGCAGTCACACATGGTCTATGGTTGAGAGCAGTGTTTCTGATACCAATTTGCCTTTGTGTCCTTGGGCAAAATACATATGACTTGCTTTCTTAGTTTTAACACCTGTCACATGAACGCAACAGTGACATTAACCTCACAATTAGCAATGAAGTCATATTTGTAAATGCGTAGCACAGCTGCTAGATTAAAATCACTCTATGGCAACATTGTTACTTCGATGCGTAGTTTATCTAGGATGTGAATTTATAATTTGGTTCTCATCTCTGTTCTGTGGAAGGGCAAGGGCTGCCGTGACCTTCTTTGGTAAATGTTTCTATTGGAGAGTAATTTTGTTTTCACAGGACCTTTGTGCATGTAGGTGTTATCTTTGTAGCACAAGTGCAGTGGAATCCAACAGAGTCTGGACTGAGAGTCCAATGGCAGGGACCTTGGCAAGGGGCACCCTTCACACACCGTGAGGTATGTGGCTATCGTGCTGCCCGGGGCAACCCTGAACAGTCACAAGGAAGATTCAAAGACAACAGCTTTGGAACTGCTGGACACGGTGGAGCCTGGCTATAATCCCAGCTGAAGCAAGAAGATAGCAAGTTCAAGGCCAGCCTGGGCAACTTACAAGACCCTGTCTCATAAATGAACGAATGAATGTCTGGGTATGCAGCTCGGCTGCCTAGTATCCACGAGGGCTTGGGCTCCATTTCCCAGCATCCCCCACAGAAGTCTTGGATTCAAAGTATCTTTATTAAGAATGCCCCAGAGCAGGACACGGTGGCACACATCTGTAATTGCCACATTGAGGAGGCCAAAACAGGAGAATCCTGATTTCAGGGTCAGTCTGTGCTACACAGAGAGACTCTGTCTCAAGAAGACCAACAATGATGATGATAAATTAACAAAAATAAATAACACTCCAGAAAAGGGGCAGAGCAGGGTCACCAACCTGTCCCAGCATGTCCTCAGATAGGGACCTCCTGGTTTCACAGCTCTCAGCAGCAGCCCCTCAGGCTCTGTTTGTTTTAAAGGTGAGAAAAACACATTCCATTTACTCTGGCTTTGGTACAGAGGCCCTAGAACCTCTTGTCCACAGCTCTGTTTAACCAGGTGGCAAAACTAAAATAACCCGAGGGAAGGGGGCTGGTTCCAGTCCCTGGGGAGCATTGGCTTCCCTGGATTCTCATCTTCGGCTCTGGTGGAAGGTACAGGATTCTCCATCCTGGTGCCTAATTTTGAGAAAGGAGCCACAGCATCCCTGGGCAATGACGTCTCAGGCCATGTTTCCTACACCAGGTGCCCTCGCCCAGCACCTTCCCGTTGATTCTGGTGAACTTCAAAATTGTAAAACCACTCATTTAAACCAGAGCTTCTCAAACTTTGACGTGCATAAACATTGCCTGGGGGACCTTATTAATATGTACGTTGCAACTCAGCAGGAACATGGGTGAAAACTGCATGTCTAACAAATTCTCAGGCGGGGAAACGCCAACCTGTAGCCCACACCGAGGACAGTGAGGGGCTAGCGAGAGTTTTTCTCAGTCAGAATTGTTTAGACTATTGTTCTGAGGTCCACCCAGATTGGGGACACCCTGGGATTCTTGCAGGGTAGAGGCTTGATACAAAATAGCTGAGTAGTGATAGACGGAAAGAAAGCTTCCATTGTCAATTTAGGCACAGGACTCAGGGATGCTAGAGTCTCGGAGCTAGCTCTGTGGGATTTATCCCAGGCCCCAAAACTGTGAAGTCTCCTCCTACAGAGGTGTGCACGATTGCTGACTGGGACATCAAATTACAACCTGTCCAACTGTCCCCTCCTCTTTTTGTTAGTACCCGGAATTGATCTCAGGGCACTGCCGGTCCTATGCTACACCCCCTGGCCAGTTTCCCCTCTTTTGGTTTTTATTTCCCTTCCTGTTTCAGCAATCTTGAAAGTGAAATCTTAATCCAAGCTCAAAAACACATCTTGAGGTGGTTTCTGACGGAAAAGAAAAAATCTTGCTTTTTACTTCAACTTTACAGTCTCGTAAA